CAGGTACTCCCCAAGAACAGTGTCTCAAAACACTCAACCACCTCCAAGGTTCCCCTCCCAGGGACCCTACCCACCCAAAACGGCTCAGATGTTGCAGTGTGGTCTAACCTGTGAAAGAACCCTGAGGGGTGGCCAGCAAATCCACATAGCAACATTCACAGCATTAGGTGGGTCTAGCAGGTGTGCGTCACCACAGGGGACTCACCCCCTGACTGTATCACAGAGAGAAAGAGAGTGTATATCCATCATCTCCTATTATTCTGTCACCATCACTCCATTCAGGCCAGTGCTTGGAAGAGACTCCTCTGTTCTCCCAATCTCCCTTCTTCTTTCCTTCACAATGCCCTGGGTCTCTCCTACCCCCTGGCTCCCTGGGGGAATCCTGGCTCCAAAGCAAGGCTCTAGAGGTCATACTGACTATGGCCCTTGTAGTTTATCCTCAGTGCAGAGCATCTGGGGCAGGTGTTAAGGAAGGATTTCCTGCTCTGTGGAAGCTTCTAGAGGTAAGCTTCAAGCCACTATGCCACCAGTTCCTATACCAACTCCTCTCACCACTAAAGGCAAAGAAGGGGAAGAGAAAGCCAGCCTCACCATATCCATTATATTGAAGGGACCAGCTCCCTGTGCCCCCTGTTTTAGCAGCCATGACAGCTAACACGTGTTTGCCTGACCTTGCTCCTCCTGTCCTGGTCACTAAGTGGTCAGATGCCCTCCTCATGGCATGAAACAAATCAGAAGTTAGCTGGCAGGGCTGTGCTTTACGGCTCTGGGTGTGCTTTACAGACAGTGCACAACAGTGATGTGCAGAGCATAGCAACCGCCCTGGGAGGGCCTATGGGCCATAACAACCAGTTGACCAATCAACACAGGGCAGGTTGTCCAAGTCTGGAAGCACACCAATCTTGAGACTGTTGTGTACCCCTAGACACTCACCTTACACTGCCCTGCCTCATGGTTTCTCGGGGTCTTTCTCCAGCCACCCGCTGCAGTGGAGGGATGAAGGGCCTGAGCTAATGGGGTTAGTTCGTTAACTACAATATAAGACTCTTTGCTTTTGCATGGAAATGGGTTTCTTGGTGATTTGGGGGTTCAGAATTTGGGCACAACAATATATCTTCTGTGACTGTAGTATCAGACACTGTCCCTTTTGGGCACTTTTGGCAGCAGAATCTCTTTTCTGATGTTCATAACATTCTAAGACAGAGACGCTACTGAATTCCCTTCCCCTCCCCTAACTGCTCCTTGCCAAGGAGAAATGCTAACTTTTTTTCCTTCGATATCTTAAAAATAGCAGAAGGGTGAGGGGAAGGTTAAGTGACCTCCACAGGGCCATGCCAAGCCCAGCAAGTTCTGATGCTGAGACAAATCAGTCTCCAAAGACCTGGGAGCTTGACACAATGGGATCCTTTCTAACATCTGCTACTATAGACTGATGAGTTAAATCAATCCCTGTTCCTTGTAATCAACGAAGGCAAATGGCCTTCCCTCCAAACCAGCTGTCAGTATGACTATAAATTGGTTCATTTTGTGCAGGAGGATGTCTTGTGATAGCTGTCAGCTAAATAAATGCTTTCTTCAATGTGACTTGAAACAGCAAGTCGCAAGTGACAGTATATGACTGGAGGAGCCAGGGCACTGAGCAGCCAACTCCTCAATTGTTTGAAAGTTCCAAGACAGTTATATGGGAGCTAAAATTTGAAGTTGATATGTCAAGGTCATTATCCTTACAGTGACACCTCACATCTACAGAGCAACCATGTTCCAGGATACCAGACGAAGGATACAGCTTGCTTTTTTTCTCACTCACCATTTGAGTATGCCAAGTACGAATGCTTACCATTGATACCTGCCAGGGCAAAGCAAACTCCAGACCCAAAGAGCCCAGCTTGGAAGCATGCTGCCCAGAAATATAAAGATGGATTTAGAGAGATAAGTGCAACTCAGAGTGGTCCAAACCACCTAGATTTGAAACTGGTGTTTAAGGGAAAACCTGCCCCTCCCCCAAGACTTACGATAATTATAGAGCCTAGCTTAAAATTTCATATTGTACTTGGAAGTTTGCCTTCAGTAGACAAATGGAATGAACAAACCTTTCTTTGTGACCCTCTTAAGTATCTTTCCCTATGCTTAGTTTCAGCCTGGTTTGTATGCCAACTCACAGTACCTGTCTCAGTCACTGTTCTATTGTTGTGAAGAGACATCATGGCAAGGCAACTTTTACGAAAGAAAGCATTTAATTGGGGGTTTGCTTACAGTTTCAGAATTTTAGTCCATTATCATCACTGCAGGGAGCATGGTGGCTTGCAGGGAGGCATTGGAGCAGTAGCTTGGAGCTACATTTTGACCCTTAGGCTGAGAAAAAAGGAACTAGGTCTGCCTGGGCTTCTGAAGCCTCAAATACCACCCACAACGGCACACTGCCTCCAACAAGGCCACAGCTCCTAATCCTTCTCAAACAGTCCCACTCCTTGCTGTTTAAGCATTCAAATATATGAGCCCATGGGGGCCATTCTTATTCAAACCATCATACTATCTACAGGAGTGAGTTAGTACGTGAGGTAGGAGACCCAGGAGGAATGAGGGAGTAAAGAAAGAGTAAGGGCCACCTTGAATCCTAGTCTGTTGCTGACTGGCACTAGAACTCAGAAATTTGCTCAACTCCTGCCATGGTTTGAATGTCCCCACCATTATGCATGCCCAAATTTAATTCCTATTGTAAGACATTAAGTAAAGATGGAAGTGGGGATATGTTAAGAAAAGATTACGATTGGTGAATTGATGGGGGTGTCCTACTGTATATATGTTTCGCTTATTGGTTGATGAAAAACACCCTGATTGACCTCGAGTCAGGCAGGAAGTATAAGCGAGGCTATGAGACCAGGAGAATTCTGGGTAGAGGATGGCAGGGAGGCCACCAGGAGGGACGCCATGTAGATACTAGGAAGATAGGATTTGACAGACATTCTCTGGTAAGATAAGGTCATGGAGAAATACATAGATGAGTAGTTATGGGTTAATGATTAAGAGACAACTAGTCAGTAAGAAGGCCTAGCCATTGGCTAACATTCATTAATGTAGTGTCCATGTGTTTACTTGGGGCAAAGCAGCTATGGGACCAGACTGGAAAGAAACTTCCATCTTCAGAGAGTGGAAAAGGAAAGGGATATGATGATACTTCACTGTACATATGTATGAAATTGTAAAGGACAATTTTATATAAGGAATATAAGCACTCTGTCATTCATGGAAAATGCACTCACTGGTTAATGGGATATCTTAAGGATCTTTTACAATAGCCAGTTTGCCTGCGTCCCTTATTTGCAATGGTCTTGTTATACAACACTTGGTGGCTACTTGAGAGTCTGAAGATTAAGGCCAATGCACACCATGAATCAAACCCAACTTGGAGAGTCTGGGTGATGAAGATGCTCAGTTACAGCTCATTAGACTGCATGGTGAGGTATCTGAAGGCACATAAAAGTGTGGGGACAGGGTGCCCTGTTCCATGAAGATCCCCCTTCTGCATCCAGGCAGAAGTCTAAAGCACCCTGGAGACACAAAGAAAAGTAGACATAGTGCTCAGCCAATCCCATTCCTGCAAAGGAGGAGTTGAAATCACAACAAGCTTCCAGAAAGGATAAATCTTCAAGACGAGGGAGAGATGGAGGAATGAAAGAAAGAAGAAAGGGAAGAAAGGAGGGAAGGAATGGGGTCATCAGGAAGTTTAACAGATAAAGTAGCTAGGAGACTTAATTTGATCCCTGGGACCCACACTGTGGAAGGAGAGAAAGGACTCTATCCTGTGACTTCCACAAGGCTGGTATCGAACACACACACACACACACACACACACCAGGAAAGAAGGAAGGGAGGAAAGAAGAGAAGGAAGAGAAGGGAAACAGTAAAGCTCCCAATCTAGAAAGCAAAGAAGACTCCTTAATAAAAACAAAGAAACCAGAAACTCTGGGGCTCCAGCATGTTATTTAGAAATGGGGGTGCCATACTGAAGAACATCTGATGTGAAGTCTTATTTGGGGTCCTCAACCTCCTTCCTTGTGACAATCCAGGAAATTATTTTACTACCATCCTGTAAGTGCAAATCCCTCCTTCCTCCTCTTCATCGTGTGGTACTGGGGACAAGGACTGGCAAGTACTCTACCAATACACTGTATTCCAGCCTGGAGACAAATGCTTTTTTTCAAAGAAAGAAGGAATTCTGTATCCATATTCTTTTTAAACATGTGCAGACAAGTAGAAATGCCCTTTTAAAACAATGAAGTCAGTGTCATTGGACTATGGTTCTGAACCAGGACAGAGCCAGATACTGAAAAAAGCAGTGTTGAGTGCATGGATGGAAGGACTTCATTGCCATGGTTTAGGTCTAAGATGACTCTCACAGGCTTATGTGTTCCAACATTTGGTCCCCACCAGTTTGGGGAGATTGTAGAACCTTTGGGGTAGGTGACATGGCTGGAGGAGGGGGGTCCTTGGAGTGAGCCTCTGAGAATTTTAGTCTGGTCTTCCCATTGAGCTCTCTGCTTCTTAATTGACCGAGATGGTGCTGCAAGCTCCTACTAACATAAGCCACGCTGTCCTGACTGCCATGATGGACTAACCTACAGCCCATTAAACTGTCCTGCCTTAGGTTCTTTCTGCCAGGTGTTCTGACACAGGAATGAGAAAAGTAATATGGATTGGTGGGAGGAGAGTTTTCTATATAATTTCATAGCAAACAAAAGCAAAGACAATTTGGCGTTATAATTACAGATGTAATATTAATGCTATACACATTTTAAGTTCCTTAATGCCAATGCTGTTGCAGGGTTTTGAAAACGGCATCATGCTCTGTAGCCCAGGCTAACCGAAAATTCACTAAATAGTCTAGGCAGACCTCAAACTTGCAGCATCTTCCTGATTTAGCCTCCACATTAGATATTTGTTTATTTGGGTTTTGGGTCAAGTTTCATAACTTCTCCTGTCCCTCTGTTTTTCATTTGTAGAGCTATGCCTTACAGAAAACTGCTCCCTGGTTCCACCTGGCAGACAAGAGTGTTCCCTGGATATCCTAGGAGTACAACACTTCCAGCCTTTGCAGGAGGAGATCACTAAGACATATAGAAGGTATCTTCCCTATAATGAGCTATTAACTACAAAGAGGTGACATGTGACATCCTTCAAATGTAAGGAAGAGGGATGAGGATGTCTTTAAAAGTTAGTGTAAGTTATATAAGCGGGACAAGAGAATCTGAATAAACTGAGTTAAGATCTAGATAAAACTGACACCCACTCTCAAGCTAGGATTTGAAAGACACCGCTTGAGGCTATATTCCCCCGTCCCAATTAAAGCTGCTATGGGAGGCTCATCATGAATATGAAATTTCTATGGAGACCTTCATAAAGAGGTAGCATTGTATACTTTGAGAGTGATATATGACCAGAGTTTTTATGAATGACAGCTATGACTTAAAAGGGGAGAAGAAATGTCCTAGCAAGGCCTTTTGCTGTGGCCTTAATTTATTCAGAAATATCTGTGGTTTTGATTTCATATAGGGAATGTATGGTGGAAGAGATTTTCAAAGGCTTTCGCCTGTGACTGGGAAGGGGACTGGGGTTGGTGGGAAACTCTTGGGCAATGGCCCAACAACTGGTAATAAACATGAAGGTCAGCCATTTGTCGTCCAAAGCCTCAAGTGTCAACTGTTTGAAGCTGCCCCATCTTTCATCAGGAGTGTGCTGGCCAGGGAATATCACTTACTTTTTTTGATGAAGGCAAGTCTCTTTCGGTATCTTCTAAGCTCCCAAAGCATCTCTTAGCCACAAGAGAGTCCTCAAGTGGCGAAGCAGTCTAGGGATGGTGACTTACTCTGGTACTGTAGCATCTGGTTAGGAAATGAAGACAGATGAGATCACCTCTTGAGGGTGGAATATGCAAGAAGACCCCATGCTACAGATTATCAGTGAGAGCTCAGCTGACTAAATCACAAAGCTAACCCACCTGGATCCTTCCAATGGAGGAGGCCCACAGGCAGGGCCGGGGGAGTACTTGCTGTATGAATAATCACTGTCCTTACTGTAAATTCCCAGTAACGCCAAATGCTCCCTTTCTGTGGTGGGATTCATCCCTATAACCCCAGTAGTGTATTACTCATTTACTGAGCACATTTTCCCCTATGCATTGGTATCTTGAATTACTCCTCCCAGATATTCTAAAGTCATTTACAATTACACCTACGAGTTTAAAATAGTTCTCAATTTGCCATAAATACATATTATTGATTATTAATTATAGATATACATTATTGATTGTAGCTATTGGTCATTGATTATAATATCAATTATAGATGTAAATACTGATTAAATATCAATATAAATTATTGATTATTAATTTCAAAATCATTATCATTCTTCCAATCATCTTCAGACTTTTAATTATCCACATTACTCTCTGCTCTAGAGAGACTTATATGCTTTTTAAACAACAAAAAAAAGGGGGCACATGTCAGGGGCCATGAGAGATGCAGCAGGTGTTACTAGTGTTAACTCTTAATAGCCTGCTTTGTGCCCTTACTCAGACTAACTGCACACTCACTTTCACCTCAGAGCGAGTTCAAACTAAAGGCATTTTGTATATAGAGCCTAAGTTTGAGACTTCACAGCTAGGTATAAGATCAGAGCCACGGATGTCCAACCAAGGTTACTAAGGAAACCATGCCTCTTCTTCACTTTCCAGTCTACTAACAATAGACTTGGGTCTTAAAGTTGTCATTGGGCACTGTGCCCTCCCTGTCTAGTCAAGGATTTGATCCTATGGCCTTGGACCCTTGTGTAGTCATGGTAAATGGCTCAGCTCCTTATCCCTTGCTCCAGGAATGTGCTTTTGACTAATGAGAGAAATCTCTTTATTCAAGGCTTGTGAAGGAGAAGGTTTTTAGAATAAAAGATGCATGGAGAAGTTAGAAGTAGGACAGGATTATTGGAGCAGAAAGAGAACAATGAAGAGCACAGGAAATAAAGAGCATGACCCTCAGGCTGTGTGTGAAGTTACTATAGAAATCCTTACCCCCTCCTTTGCCCCCAAGAGGCATTTCACCTTTGGAATGCTGGGTTGGGGCTGGAGCAGGTTCTTAGCCCTTACAAGCCAGGTGACTTGCATCCTGTCTTCAGGAGGACATGGTAGACTGGTGAGCCTCGTGGCTATTTCTATGTTACAAAGGGCCATGGACAGGCAGATATGGTCTGAGAGAATATTTCCAAGACAGTGTTGTGCATACCGGCCACATTCACTTAAGTAGTGTACAACACTGGTCTGAGAGGGACTGTATTTTGTCTTCGAAGCTCTCGAATGACTTGTGGCCATAGAAGGTGATCTGGGAGGCACTTTAGGAAACACAAGAAGAGGGTGTTAGGGCCTCCTTGGGGAGGCTAATAGAAGTATAGAAGTGCCTCCTTTTTTTTTTTTTTTTTTGGTTTTTGCGAGACAGGGTTTCTCTGTATTGTTTTGGAGGCTGTCGGTCCAGCCTGGCCTCAAACTCACAGAGATCTGCCTGCCTCTGCCTCCCGAGTGCTGGGATTAAAGGCGTGCGCCACCACGGCCCGGCTCCTTATTTTTTAATTATTAAATTTGACTTAATTATTTTCAAGTCAGTCTCATGTAGCCTCTGCTGGTGTTGAACTAGATATCTAACTGATGATGAGTTTGAACTTCTGATGCTTCTGATTCTACCTCCTGAGTGCTGGAACTAAAAGCATGCACACCATACTCAGGTTGTATGGCCCTGGGCTCCAGGGCTTCCTGCATACTAGGTATGCTGGCTAGCTTCTTTTGGCTTGACATAAACTAGAATTACCTGGGAGGAGGGAACCTCAACTGAAAAGTGGCCTCCATCAGATTGGCATGTAGGCAAATCTTTAGGGGGGTTTTCTTGATTGATGATTGATGTGGAAGAACCCAGCCTATTGTGGACGCTGGCACCCCTGGGCAGGTAGTCCTGGGTCATAAAAGAAAGCAAGCTCAGCAAACCGTGGAAAGGAAACCAGTAAGCAGCATTCATTCCTCTGTGGTCTCTGCTTCAGTTCCTGCCTCCGGGTTCCTGCTTTTAGTTACCGCCTTGGCTTCCCTTGATAATGTACTATAATTGCAAGATGAAATAAACTCTTTCCTCCCCCAAACCTGTTTTGGCAAGCTCTCCACTATTTAAGCACTCCTGTTAAATAGGCACCCAAGTTGGAGTTCAGGGTAGAGGACGTGGTAGGCTGTGATCCATACCCTGTAACAGGTAGGAACCTAGGGATGCTGGGAGAACCTGGCAGCCAGGTCTGCTTTGATATGGTAAATAGGCACCTTAACCATTTGTCATGGTTTTGAAACTTAGCAGTTCCCAGCCTCTATTTTAAAAGTTTGGACAGATTTCAGAGCCTTTTGTGGGAGATGCCCCCATTTAAGGCAGGCTGTTTTGTAAGTAGCCACATCACTTAGATTCATGTGGATTTATGAGTGATTAATATGTTGCCACTGGAATCCGCAGAGGACTCATTGAATACTTGCTTTTCCTTAATGAGTGTGTTAAATGGGTCAACTTGTAAGAATATTTCATTAATATAATGCCATCCCTGTGCCCTGGATGAAGGAGGGGGATGTGGGTAAGATATTTCATGGCAGCAAAGCTGTTGAGGTTCCCATTGTATGCTGTATCTCTCCAGAGAAGACAAACTGTGCCTGGCTGGCTGTTTCAGGAGGCTGTGTACAGAACACACTGGCCAAGTTTATAAATAGCACTTGTGTCTGTGAATGAGATAAGATGGGTAATTTTAATAGTTCTGGGTCCTGGAGGCAGTAGTAGAAGGAACCACAGTATTAAGGATGCTGTGAGCTCCCAGGAGTTCTCACTTATCTTTGTTCAGCTTCAAGAACTAGCAAAACAAAAATTGGGGCTACTAAACAGGTAAGCAGTAGGATAACCATTTCCTTTTAATTAGATATTAGGTAATAAGCTTTAATTACTACAGGCCATTTTAATTAACATTGGACAATATTTACTATTTTAACTAAGAGCCTGTGGGGCCCATTTATCAAATTAACTTGTAATTGCCAATGACGTAATTTAATTTGAATTTATCACTCATTGTTTTAAAGTTTCTATGCCCAATGCAGGCTATTTTAGGTCTCTGGATGCTATGTAAGATTATAAGAAAATTTTAATTAAATTTATCATACCTATTTTCCCTCTTTCATATTAATTTTTTTGAAGACTATAGGGGGTCTCAATATTTACACTTAGTAATTGTACTGGCTGGTTTTGTGTGTCAACTTGACACAAGCTAGAGTCATCAGAGAAGAAGGAGCCTCAGTTGAAGAAATGTCTGCATAAGATCCAGCTGTAAGGTATTTTCTCAATTAGTTATCAATGATGGAGGGCCCAGTCCATGGTGGGTGGTGCCATCCTGGACAGGTGGTTCTGGTTCTATAAGAAGGTGGGCTGAGTGGGCCAAGAGCTACAAGAGCTACAGCTCCCCTCTATGACCTCTGCATCAGCTCCTGCTTCTGGGATCCTGCCATGTTTGAGTTCCTGTCCTGACTTCCTTCAGCAATGAACAGCAATGCTGAAGTGTAAGTCAAATAAATCCTCTCCTCCCCAACTTGCTTTTGGGTCATGGCGTTTCATTGCAGCAATAGAAACCCTAACTGAAACAAATAATCTCAGGTGTAGCTAAGTCTGACATTTTGTTAATGAAGTTCCTCCTCTTTTTCCTTTTGTGTTGAGCACTGTTTTCATTGGGCTCCAAACCTGGGATCCTAGTACCCACACAGATGCCACCATAGGAGTCATTCTGCAGCTATTCCTCTTAGAAAGGGCCAGACAAATATCATGACAAGCCCCTAATAACTCAGTTAAGAACTAGGCCTCAGTTCCTTCAGCTACTAGGCCTGGGCCACCCTCCCCTCCAGGTGATAACCTAACAAGGACAAAGCCTGGGACGTGTCCAAGAATGGAAAAACTATAGCCTTAGCTCACCCCTGCTATCCCTAGCTAATTGGAAATGTACTAATATGATTGCCACTTGGATAAACCAATCATAAGTAGAATGGCCACACTGCTTTTAAAATTTTTGTAGCTGTGCTTAAAATGAGGTTACTCATCCCTCTCAAGGTGGTTACCATTTTGTACAGGTGTGTCTTACTACACATGCGTATGGTATAATAAAAATGCCCTTGCTGAATATATCAGTGGTCTTTTAGGGAGTTCTCATGGACCCTAACACTTACTGGAGTAGGCTAAGCAGGCTTATCAATCACTGGTTAGTACTGCCTAGCCAATTATTGTAATTCTCTCTCTCTCTCTCTCTCTCTCTCTCTTGTATCTATAGCTGTTGTTTTTTTTTTGCTGCAGCGACTGGTAATGAAGAACAAACCTTGAGTCAACAAACCCACTTGGAGTTTATTGGTAGAAGGGGAAAAAAGAGGTGTTAGGGGTTGGCCAGTTGAAGCGGGGGTGGGGGGGGTGGGGGGGGGGGGGGGTGGGGTGTGTGTGTGAAGGTGCAAGCTAAAAAGGGGAAGCTCAAATGCGCACTGAGCCCCCTAACCAGGTAGTGATGACGTAGCCACATCACTGTGCATGCCCCACCTGTTGTCAGGGAACAGGGGTCAGCATGGTGTTTAGTTCCAACAATCTCACCTCTTATTATTATTTTTAAAAGGGTGGGGATATGGGCGTGGCAAGTTAGGGAATAAGGGCATCCAGTTCTCAAGACTGCTTCCTGTTGACCTGGGGGGCATTGACCATCTTCAGGGGATCTGAGAAAGCTGGGGTGTTGCCATGTCCTGGAGTAGCTGGTTGCTCCATCACAGTCCTGGCTGTTTGGAACTCTGGCATCTCTGCAGATCCTGCAAGATGTTAGCAGAGTAGAGGACAAGGTTAGGTTTAGAAAAAAATTTTTTATAAGGTCCTGGTACTTGAGGGGAGGATTGTAAGATGAAGGAGGGGTTCCTGAGGGGTCCCAAGATGAGGGAAGGGAGTCCGGGGACCAGGGTGATATTGAATAATATCTGGAGTGAATCTGACCTGTTTGGATGGGTCCAATTCAGCTCCCTGGAACTTACAAGAATCCTTTGAATTTGTGAAATCGTATTAGACACACTATCAGCACATTTATGTTAGAGACAACTTGGCTGACAGTATTAACATTTAAAGCTGACAGATATTTTTAGTACAATAAAAAGCACTGTAATTTTGAGCTTGTAATTTTGATCATATTGTTTGGTGTTTAGTACTCTGTTAGAAATGGATTAATAGCTTATTAGCTTGTTGTTTCATTGTCATCTAGGCTGTCAACCAGGATTTTTCTGGTTACCTTTACTGAGGAGGCACAGATGTTTGGTGGTCTTTGTGTCTCTAGATCTGTGGCTTTCGGCTGGCATTCCTATAACAACAATCGGTTGGATTAGAAGTTTTAAATGAGTTATTGTGGGATACATTGGAGATTGATGAGCAGGGTGTAATTAGAAACAGGAGAATTTAATCAGCCTGAGGACAGGAAGAAAAGCATATGGGGTACCCAGTCTGGCAGAGTGTGGTTGTAGGAGTGGAGCCTTATTCTTCTGAAATGGGAGGCAAAGTAGTTGGTTCCAGTGTCTTCCGAGGCTTAAAGGAACAAGGTCCTGTTGCAGTAGCTGTATATGAGGGGTGAATCCAGTGGGGGAAGGTCCTCAAGCTTAGCAGCTGTTGGAGTGACAAGAATCACTTTGAAGGGACCCTGACATTTAGGGGACAGGGGCAAGGGGCATTGGTCTGGAAGAGACAGAAGGACTTGATCCCCGATATTAATTGGGGATGTACAGGGGCTGGCACATGATTGAGGTAGGGAGTAATCAGTAAAGTCCCATAGGAGGGAACAAAGATGATGAAGTAAGGATGTAAGCAGGTGGTCAGGGGGAGGTGAGAGTTTAGATGAGAGGTCAGGTGTTAGAGCTGGCTGCCCATACCTGAGTTCAAAGGGTGAGATGAAAAGGGGTCATTTGAGGAGAGCCATGAGCTTGAAAAGAGCCAGAGGCAAGAGCTTTAGCCAGTCAAGGTGAAGTTCCTATGGCATTTTAACAAGAACATTTTTTTTCTATTTTGGTTTTTTGAGATAGAGTTTCTCTGTGACTTTGGAGGCTGTCCTGGAACTACCTTTTATAAACCAGGCTGGTCTTGAACTCACAGAGATAGGCCTGCCTCTGTCTCCCAAGTGCTGGGATTAGAGGCATGTGCCACCACCGCCCGGCAACAAGAACATTTTTTAAAGAACGGTTAGTTGGCTCTACCTTCCCTGAGGACTGGGGATGATGATATGGAATATGAAAATGCCAAGGAATGTTGAGAGCTTTAGATAGGGTTTGGGAGATCTGAGAGGTAAACTCAGGACCATTGTCTGACTGAAGAGCAGCTGGAATACCAAACTGGGGAATAATTTCCCCGAGAAGGATGTCAGAGACTGTCTGGGCCTCTTTGTTAGTGGTTGGAAACACTTCTACCCACCCTGAGAAGGTATCAACTAGTACCAGGAGATATTTGACTCATCCGAATGTGGGCATGTGGGTAAAGTCAAGTTGCCGGTCAGCCCCTGGGACAAAGCCCCTGGTCTGGTGGCTGGGAAAAGTGGGACTATAATACCTGGAGTTAGAGTCTGACATCTGATAGGTTTTACAAGAGGCAATGATGGTTTTAAAGAAATGTAAGTCCTCAGAAGTGGGCTGCAGGTGAGCCTTGACAAACTGAGAGAGCTTTACTGTTGGGGTGGACGAGCTGGTGTAGATAGGACAGGATTTGTCGAGTGTCAGGAGGTGACTGTGAGGACATGGGTTGTAGTGTATGAACTCCTGTGGTGGGTGAGGTAGATCTGGGTCTCGGAGGGCTGCAGCCCTAGCTGCTTCATCAGTCCGGTTGTTGCCCCTAGAGATGATGGAGCTGTCAGTCTGATGAGACCGGCAGTGAATGATCCCTATAGCTTTGGGGAGGTGGGAGGTCTTTAGCACGGCCATAATATAACCTGAGTCAGCTATGGATCCTCCTTTTGTAGTAAGTAGCCCGCACTCTTTCCAGATAGCAGCGTGGGACAGGAGGATATGAAAAGCACATTTGGAGTCTGTGTAAACATTTAGGAAATGTCCCTGTGCTAATGGAAGGCACAGGTGAGAGCTATTAATTCAGTCTGCTGGTTGGTAGTGTAGGCAGGGAGTGCTCATGCCTCCACCATCCTGGTATCTGATACTATGCTGTAGCCTGCTCTGCGGGTCCCCTCGTGTGAAAAGGAGCTGCCATCTGTGTGCCACGTATAAGTGGCCTGAGGTAGTGTGCCCTCCTGTGTGTGTGAAGAATGGGGCAATAGTTCCTTCAAGGTTTCAATGCAGGAATGATGGGGCAATAGTTCCTCTAAGGTTTCAATGCAGGAATGAGATGGAGAATAGTTAGTGTTAGGCAGAGGTAGAAGATTTGAGATATCGAGGGGCGGGCAGGATTGGAAGGTAAGGGTGGCATCCTCTACCAGCTCCACCTGCAGAGAAAGACCTCGGGAAGGAGGCAGAGTCTGTAAGCCTCTGTAAGTTAGGAGATGAGACGGGTTGTGATGGGAAAAGACAGTGATGGGTGACGCAAAGGTTAGCTTCTTTGACTCATGCATAAGGAGCTCGGCAGCTGCTAAAGCCACGTGTGCCCACCCTTGGGGAGTTAGGTCTGGTTTCTTTGACAGATACGCTATGGGTGCAAAGGAAGGTCCCAGCTGGTGACCTAGAGTGTCACGTCTGCTGCGCGGCCTGTGTCCGAGAAGGTGCGGAGGGTGTCGGGGATTGACAACACAGAGACTTGTTCAACGATGTAAAGAAAACTTTAAGCAGGCCCCAAAAAGGTTCAAGAAAACTTCCTAAGAAAAGCTCCCACCAGAGAAGCTTCTGCTCTCTCCTCTACCCTGGCTGGTTCTCTCTGACACCAAAAACTGATCTGGGCGTGTCAGAAGAGGCGGTTAGTCTTTGGACAAGGTCGAGGTCAGGGTGGTTTCTGTGGGCAGGCCTTTTCCAGGAACTTATTGCCCCAGGGCATTGTATTGTTTTTAGTAAACATGTTTTTAGTAAACATTGTCTTACAGCTACCTACTCCCAGGCAGAAGGGGAAGTGGGTCTCTGCTCAAGGTCTGGTGTTCCCACAATTCACCCCTTTTTATTTTTAAATGAGGCACTCCTGGCTTAGGTCAAGTAGGGTCACCCTCCCTTTCCCGTCCTTGGGGGACCTTGAACCCGTCTTAGGCGGGAGGGGTCTTCCCCACAGGTTGCCCGTCAACAGAGCGCCCCAACTTTAAATCATCTGTAACCAACCTTCATGGCTATCTGGATTGCCATGGGCTAAGCTAAGCAATACTTGGTTACGGATCTCTTGCCTCTGGAACAAGGCACGTTTGAGCTCAGCATAAAGCCAGAATGCCTACTGCCACTGCCACCATTTTCAGGACCCCCATTGACATAGAGCCTCTCCATCACCGTACTCATCACCAGATCTGGGCCATAACATTCTACCAGCCTTCATCTGTTACAAGGGTAACATGCACGTGATTTACATTCTGTTACAAGGGTAACCCGCATGTGATTTACATTTACAATTTGATAAAGTTACAATTGTTCCAAGATCTGCTCAGGAAAGCATTTAGAAAGTGCACTTGCACAGATACATTAGGTACAATCATTGATGTTACACATGTAGCATTATGAAAAATATGAACAATAGGCTTGTTGCACTATCCACAGAGCACCAATTTGTTCCTGTGGTGATGCAGTTTGTTGATTTAACGTCAGCTGATTATGCGACTTGAGTCAAAGTCTCCTTTTTGTCGCATTAGGACAAGTTGCATCTCTCTAGAAAAATACACTGGCCTAGTCGTGATTCCAGAAACAGGAACCATCAAGTCTGATATTTCAAGTGACCATGTCCTGTTCAATTACTGAAAAGAGGCTTTTGCCCCTCATCACAGTCCATACCAATGTCCAAATGTTTTAAATGGGTCCTTTTTTCTCTATTGGCTTCACGATGAAAACTCATGGGTCCGGAAGGTTGATGCAGCAGGTCTGTTGAGAAACTGGAAATCTCGAACCGACTGTTTTCTTTCTTTCTTGGGCTCTAGATTCGATGACAGCAAGGGTCAGGAACACTGATTTAGGAGATCTCACTCAAACTGGCTTAGGTAGGCTCCCATGGTCTCAGGTCCAGTTTTTCTCTGCTCCATGCCGAAGCTTTTATTCTTTTCCTACAAGAAAACACAAACATGCCCTCGACCCCAAATTAGGGTCTTCTCCACTGTTTAGTGCATGGATGTCTCCATTTGACCTGAGCAATGGTTGCTCAAGTTCCATCATGCCAGAATCTGTCTGAAGCTCACTGGCATTCACATTATAAAATTTTTAAATGAGGAGTGTATTATTTGATGAGTCATATGGGGACTGGGGACATTATTCCCCCTTTTTTATTTTCTAAAAAAATTTTTTTGAACTGTTGAAGCTGGACCATAATAGTAGAAGGATTTGTCTACCCTCCTTGGTTGACTATCTAGGTAAATTGGGATTACTACTTAGATTATTTGTAGATGCCCATTAAAAAGGACATATCCATTAAATATTTCCCAAAAACTTCTGAAAATCACTCAAAGATTGTAAACTATACTGTGTCCAAATAACTTTTGAAAATTATTTGAAGTCTGTGAGCAGTCTTTCCCAATCTAACCTGTAGAGCTCTCACTAGCTGACAAGGCCTCATTTGCATCTTAAATTTTTCTGTTAAAACATTAACAGACTGGCTGGATGTTCCTTTTGGCTATATTTAAAGCAATCTAGGTAGCTTCTTAACTATTTTTGAAGGGATTTAAGTATCCTTTTAATCATATAAGCAGTTCACACTCACGCATTCACAATCACATTTCATACATACCGGTGTGGCCACACCATACATTCAGAACATACATGCATCTTTCAGTCATCCTTTTTCCCTAGGTCATGATTAGTCTGTTGCAATGAAGCTTCCTTAATTGAAATCTATGTAAAAGAACAACTCCAGCCAATCCTTGAACTAAAAGGTTAAAAAGTCCTGTATGTTCTTTATCATTCCTCCATTTGAGCTACAGTCATGGGGTACAGCCGTACCTACTCCTTGTAACTGTAGATGCAAGGTGGAGAGGCCAAGCTTTTGGCCAAAAGTTTTTAGAGATGACTCACAAAATAGAACTTAAATGTAAACAAAAATTTCCATTCTATATACCTTTGTCTTTTTCTTTCTTTACTTAATACCAGTACCTCTTTACTGTTACAAATTTTTTTTCACCCATTTTTTTTTAAGTCAGGGTTTCTCTGTATTGTTTGAGGCTGTCAGTCCAGCCTGGCCTCGAACTCACAGAGATACGCCTGC